CCCCCCCCCCCCCCCCCCCCTGTGGGATCGCTGTGTTGAAACTGGCAACGTACCCTTCCCCTTGGACTCCGTTGGCTTTTTCTTTCTTTCAAACTCAAAGCAGATGCAGGGCTGCAAATGTGTCTGAACACATCTGTGATGACTGGTGTGAGTCTGCTGAGGCCCTGTTTTTTTTTATTTTTTATTTACTGTGTCCAAGTCGACGTGTTGAAATTTAAATTGTGTTGTATTTGCCAGATGTGTTTAACGTAAATCCTGGTGTTTCTCCGGGACGTTTCTGGCCATTGAGAGAATGTTAGGGTTAATGTACAGTAATTTTAATTGTTAAAAGGTACAAATGTTTTTTCAGATTGACTGCTATTATTTGTATTTTTTTAATGTTTTGTTTTATTTTTTATTTAGTCAATTCTATCCCCCTCCCCCAATTCCCTCCTAAAAGGTTTGAAAACAGGGTTTCCTGAGGCGTGCAAGTCAGTGGCCTCTGACCTTTTTTTTGTGATTTGAGGGGGTGCTAAGAACCACACCAATAAGGGGTGACGGACTCCCCTCAAGTCTTCGCTCTATTTTTGCTTTAATTCTCTTTTTACGCAGAACCAAAATGTAAAACATCAGTGAACTAGGTGTCAGGCCTAACCTGTGTGTAAATACCTGGATACAATCAGCAGGATCTTGTTTTCAACACGACAATTGAAGATAAGTGTAGTTTCTAAAGAACATGTATCATTATTTGTAAGTTAACCATCTGCATGTCTTTAAGCCACCTGGCATTAGCTAATAATTTTTAAGAAGAAAAACAAACAGAAAAAAAAAACTTTTTACATGTTTTATTTTTTACAATTTATTTGCTTACCTAAATATCCCAGACAATAATGTGACCCCCTTTTTTATTACTTCAAAATTTATTTTTATTTTCCATTTTTTTTATTTTTCCCTTATTTTCTGTGTACTACATATAGGCAATTTATAACAAAATGAGAAAATTATTGAAGAATTTTAAAATTGAAATATATTTTATTTGAAAGTTTATGGACCTTTTAACCGTGAGCCGGAGAAATTGTATAATCGTATAATTTGAACTGACTTGACGGTTATGAGAAATGTATCAAGAGTTTTATTTTTTATGCTTCTTTAATAAAGTCTTGTTTTTTGGTTTCATTTTTTTACTGTAAAAATAAAAACGCGTCTGTCTTTTTATTACTGCCTTCAGCAGATTGCTGTGCTGTAGTTTCACCGCACGGTGGCAGCAGAGAGCCGCGGTGCCGTTTTTAAGCCTCAGTAAATTATTTTTAGTACATTATTTGAATACAGCACTATATTTATGCCATTCAATGTGTATTGTTTTTACATTTATTTAGTAATTTAATATTTTGTCAACAAAACTTCAGCAGCAGTGTTTCTTGGCATTGCTTAAAAAAAAAAAACGATTAATCACTAAAAATCATTTTAAATTTTACTTAATATAGTTGTAAAATACATCAAACGAAATAATGCATAGCAATCACAGTAAATAAGTAATTTATTGTTTATTAGGAGGAACTTTTTATTGGTGCCAACAACACTACCAACCTGATCAAGAAAGCACGTCAGAGACTTATATTCCTCAGGCGGTTGAGGCGAGCTGGACTGGGAAGCTCAGTTCTCCTTCTACAGATGTCCAGTAGAGACCATCCTGTGCTCCAGCAGCAACATGTGGCATGGAGGCTGCACAGAAGACTGCTGGAGTCAGCCTCCACCATAATGAAGAGGGCCACCTGCATCACGAAGGACCCCACTCACACAGCACACACAGTTTTTGCCCTGCTCCCTTCAGGCAGGAGGTTGAGGAGCATTAAGTGTAGATCGAGGAACAGCTTCTACCCTGAAGCTGTTTCATTCATGAATCCTTAACCAAGATAATCACTGTGAAAAATTGCTGTAATGCCACTTGATATGTGCTGCTGACTATCCATGCTGCTGATCTCATGCTGCTGATTTATTTCATACTGCTGTGTTCATTCGTACTCATCTGCTCACACAGACTCATGTTCGTGCTGCTGTTGTTCAGTGTATTGTTTTGTACTATTAGTGCTTAGTGTATTCTTTAACGTTTCTTAGTTCATACCTTAGATCTTATTGTTTTTCTTTACAATTTATACTTTTGTTGGATTTAACTGGGACCCTGTGTACACAATTTTGTTCCACCACATGATGAGAATGACAATAAAGAAAGCTTGACCCTGAACTACTTTGTGGGGTGAAGGATTTAATTGGGGACGTTGCGCCCCACCTGCCCCTATGGACCGGCCACCACTGCTTTTAGATTTTTGCAACATTTAGATTTCAGCTTTTTGAGCAGACATTCAGAGTTCAGCATTCACACTTCATTTTCTGTGAAAATGCAATTTTTTCTAGTTGTCTTTGTAATATTTATGGATTTAGAGCTTGTTATGTCTCACCACACAGCTGCACCAGCTGCTGAAACACTTTTAATGTGTTTGTTCTGGATACAAATCAGATTCCGTAGAACTAAAGTGATTGTCGACAGGACATGTAGGTTGTGACACAAAAGTCTTTTTTATTAGGAAGCAGATCACAATCAGGCTGCATTCCAGCTCCACTTCGTCTTCATTAAACAACAGTAATGATAAGAAACAAATTACAAACGTCCTCAGTAGAAAATAATTCTCTCATGCGAGTTCTGTGTTCACACTACATTCAGATTGATAACAGATGATTTTTGAAGAAAAGAAAAAAACACCGATAACTTATTACAGAGCTTTAGAAAGTAAAACTTAACTAAATAAAGGCAACAAACATCAAAGAGACACGTGCTGACACAATTAAATTTCCCATCATGCAAGTGTGGTTGTTTCTATTCACAGAGCGGGCATCGTTGATCTCTAAAGAGTTGTGTTGGCGTGCATGCATGCATGTGTGTCTTCTTACATGTGCCCTTTTGTGCTTAAGCATTGATCAATGTGCAGGTGTGTGTTGTCTGTGATGGACACGTGAAGCAGACAACCTGGACGATCTGAAATGTAAAATTTTGTCTTGAGCTCACATATGAAAACAACTTTACAGACCGTTGCAGGAGCACTCCACCTTTATTTTAACGTTGTCAGACTGGTGGACTGTTCAATGAGCTGGTTAATGAACTATGATAAACTCAGTTACACACATTAGTTGATATTCATTAGATCTGACATGACTCAAAAGCAGAGAGACCAAAAGTTTCCCCTATAAGCTGATCAGTACAGAGCTTTGATGTGTAAAAATCAGTGACGTTCCCCTTTAAGACTGAGCAACGCGAGTCAATAACGCACAAAAAAATAATAATTCCAACAAATCTTTAAGTTATCATAACTCAAAAGGCATGAGCTGGTGTCTCCAAGCGAACATCGATCCCTTTGATTGGAGAGAGAAGGCTCCGTTTAGGATAAATGACATTCAAAGGATTTTTTTTGGTAGCTTTCAGCAAATACTAAATAAAGAGAACGTGTTACGTACAACGTCATGCGGCGTGGACATTTAGTGCTGTTAGAAACTACAAGACGAGCTGGACTATGGCTGTTCTGCTCATTTTTTGCAAGAAAAGCTCAAATGCTTCATCATCCCATTTGAAACAAAATATCTATTTTAAATGCTTGGCGGTGACTGATGGCTTTTTTTATAAAAAAAACAAACAAACATGAACTCTGGTTTTTGTCATTTGTTTACGACTAAAGGAAATTAGTTTCCTCTTTCCGTTAAAGATGTCAAAGGTGACACACCTCCAATGGGAATTAATGACTACGTCAATAAAATATCTTAGTGGTTTAAAAAAATATGCAGTCATAAGTTTCCCATTCCTTGAATGTGGATAGTGCACTTGGTGCTCTTTGTAGCTTTAAATGTTTGACAGCGCATGTTTGGGTGTCTAGGTATTGCTCGCAATCTAAGAGCCCATTTTGCAGATGTGACAATCCACCTGTACAGATGCACACACACACGTTCATACACATGCAGGCACATTCGCAAAAGACACGCAATGTTTGTCCACAAGGCTCAGTGGACACACAAACAGATCTCTATTGCCTTCAGGAGATGCGTTTACGTGTGCAGACGATTAGAGGAAAGTGTTCTAGGGAGCGTCGAGTGATGCTTCAGGCTCTGAGTGGTTCCTCCGAAGAGATTTTCCGATGTGTCGTGTGGCTGAGGAGGTGGAGAGGGGAGCCTCGTGATCAGTTTGCCAACAGAAGTGGTACGTTTAGATAACCCAGTCTACTGATCCTGTAGCCCTTTTTTTATTTATTTTATAAGTTGCACTCTGTGTGTGTGAGATGATTAGTATTGCTTCGTAGTGTGAAGCGTTTTATTATTATTATTTTTTTAAAGCACTATTTTTCTTCCTATCTGCCTTAGACCTGATCACCGTTAGTGTCTCCTCTCTACAGTAAGTGTTTGTTCTAGCAGGCTTATGAGTACCATATGCTCAAGCAGATAACATATTGGAGGCACCCGTCTGTTATGCAGGATGGGAATGGTTGCCGTAGTAACAAATTGGTAAATCACAGTGTTCCTGGGGTCGACATGCAGGACAATAGCACATGACAGCAAAGACTAGCCCCCCTCAACACCGATCTAAGGTCTGTTTAGGATTTTTGGACGAAAGGAACCCCATTTTAGATCTGTGTTTGAACGCCAAATGACACGACACACTGTAGGACGACTGCACAGCGAAATGACTGTTTGGGATGGGGGGGTGGGGGCAAGAAGAGCAACACAGACTGATGAACAGACGGACAGAGCGTAGCTAGGCAAGAAGTGCTCTCCTGAAGATGCAGAGAAGCAAAAGTGCAAAGTGGTCATTGTAAAACTAATTAAACGTTTTTGTTGTTGCGTTGCGGTGCGTTCATCACAACTAAATGTGCAGCGTATAAAAGGTGTGATGTGCCGTAAGAAAGAGTGACTGCTTGCTAATGTAGCACTAACCCTAATCTAACAGCTTTTAGCGCAGATGCAGAAAGAATCAAAAACAAAATCAAACCTTTTTATAAATGTATTCCACCATGTTTGCATTGCGGTGTAAATGTTGCATAATGTATGCAGATATATGTACAGTTTTACATGTGTGCTTGTATATTGCACAGGGGTTTCTATGTAGGCGTGAGGGCTATGGTTCTGTTGGGTGTGTTTCTGCTGTTTTTGTGCACACGTCTTTTATCTTGGTCCTCCGCGCCTCTCAGCTGCGGCCCTCTTCAGCCGAGCGCTGGTCTGACTTCAGCTTGACGAACTCTTTGGCCACGTCGTCGTTGTTGCGCTGAGAGAGGATGCGCAGCACCGTCAGGCCCGTCTCGTCCATGTGCACACGTCTTCCCAGCGGCATCCAGCACGTGATGCTGCCCTTGTTGGCTATGTCCTTCACCTGCAGCACAGCCATGCCCACGGTGCGGTCCTCTCTGGCAAAGCAGTAGTCCTTCACACACACCTGCAGCTCATAGCTCTCCGGACCCACCTCAGCACCCAACGAGCTGAAACAATAAAAAATACACTGTTTTGTAATTGATTTTCTTATTTACCGTATTTTTCGGACAATAAGGTGCACTTGAAATCCTTAAATGTTCACAAAAATCAACATTGAACCTTATAATATTTTTTTATCTAGCTGTTTTTGTTACTTTTTTTGCCATCTTTTTTGTAAAAAAAAAAAAAATCTGTATGCCTTTTTATAACTGTTTATTGTTGTCGCTGTTGTCCATTGTTGTCATCTTTCTTTGTTGAAATCAGGTCTCTCTTGTAAATGAGTTCTCGAGGCTCAATGGGATTTACCTGTCTAAATAAAGGTTGAATGAATGAATGAATAATCCGGTGTGCCTTATGTATTAATTCTGGTTGTGCTTACTGACCTCGAGCTGATTTTATGTGGTACACGGCGCTCAAAAATCGGTCAGAATGGTTTAGTTTTGCTTAATTGGTCTTATAATCCGGTGCATCTTATAGTATGTATGGTATAGTATGTACCGGTAAGTATAGCATTTATTTATTTTTTGTTGTGATTTTCATCAGTCACAGCTGACACATGACGATAGAACTGAGTGGATACTCACTACTGGAAGCTCTCGATGAACTTTGGAGACCAGCTGTTGTTCTTCGATTTGGTGGCAAATTTTCTTTTCTTGTCGCTGAGGTGAGGACCAATGATGTAGACTTCCACAAAGGGCCTGAAGCCCTGCGCTTTCCATTTCAGGTCATTGGCAGCCACCACTGAAAGGAAAGATGTGAGCAACATAGAAAGGCAAGAATGTACACAACACTATGAGCAAGCCGAGTTCTCACCTTTGATACCGATCTTGTGCTCTCCGTTGGGCTGGGGTAAAATGTCCACATGCATGACCACCTCGCCAACTGCATCCACACCAGATGCTGCAAAACCAAACCCAGTTACAGACACGTCCATCTTTATAGACACTCCCAAAGAGACTAAAGCAATCGAGCTAAATGTAGGAAAAGAAGAGGGAGATCTGAGACATGCAGAGCTGCTCTGAGTCTTTGGACATTGTTTTGTGACTGTATAACCACAGACGTGTCTGAAAACAAGATTGACGTCCAAAGATAATCTTTTTTTGGAGGGAGGGATGTACCTTTCTCTGGTGGGGTGTCTTCATTTGCAGTGTATCTGACCCCTTTCCCTCCATGGACTGAGGACAGACAGAAGAATCAGAGAGCATTACCAAAACAGAAACAATATTCATAATAATGTTCAAGTTGCTCAATTTTGTCTCATAGATTTAGTTCTATAAGATCACAAATACACAAAAGCACTTTCTGAGAATAGCCGAGACACATTTGTGTAATAAACTCTTTGATCCTACTTTATGGACAAGTTGTACAGTACAGTATGTGTGTGTTATTAGTGTGACGTCATACCCTGAGCGCTTTGTGAGAGGACAAACTTCCTGATGAGCTTGTCTGTAGCCTGGGTGTACAGAGACAAGGCGTAGCGCAGGGACTGCAGATCAGGACTCTTCTCCAAGAACGTCTTCTTCAGGCCAACACCGCCTGCATGGAAGTATTGCTGTGTAACAGAAAGGACACAGCGAGTGACTGGATGATGAGCAGAGAGGGTCCACCTCCAACATGAAGCATGAAACAAAACTGCCTCTCACCATAAACCAATCAAACACTGAAACATAACGAAGTGAACACAATGTAAAACAGATAGTAGGAGTTCCTTAATGTTTAATACTTAAAGTTTCAAGAGTTAAGAGTTGTGCTGTATAATTTGTAGATTTACTCATAAACATACTTGATTTTCAAATGTGATTAAACAGTTTGTATATTATGTAAAATATATTTGTGTAAGCTCTCACACACCATGTAACATATTATTTTTATTTATTATAGGTTTGGGATGTGTTTAAGTGTTTTTTCCCCCCTAGATACCAACATTTAGTTTTGCAGATGACTCTTCTTGACACTAGTTTGATGTAATCAAGCCTTTTAATAATCTGGGACAAGTGAAAATACAGAGATTTCCCACTCCTCTCCTGCCTGTTGACTGCTGATCACATGAGGCAGAAATTATGCTTCTAAATACAAACAAAACGTTTTTTTCCAAGACAAAAAGGTAAAACATGAGTACCCGTAGTTTACACATGAGAAAGTTCTGCTTTATGGGACAGGATCCACAGCAGGGAAATATACCGTATTTTCCGGACTATAAGTCACACTTCTTTTCATAGTTTGTCCAATCCTGCGAAGTATAGTCCGAAGCGACTTGTACGTTTTTTTTTTCCCTATTCATGACACAATTTTTGACTGACAAGTTAAATGTTCATTCATACAGACATGAACCAAAGAGTAAACATTTGCAGCCACAAGAGGGCCCTCTAGGCTTTTGACAACTATATGTTGTTCCTCTATGCTAACCACCTACAAACATTCACTTCGAGACAACTGAGAAAAACTTAACACAAGTAAAATGACCCCAAATGTGATGTGGAATGAGATTGGTGAATTTACCGGTAACTTGCTTGTCGGAGTCGTTTGGCTTGTGTTAATTAAACCTGTTCAGGATCCCAGGTTTATTCTCTGTGTTATTGTTATTTCAGATTAAATGTCTGTTCTTACACTTTTTGAAATACACTTCTAAATACTCCAAAATGACTTATATATTGGTTTTTTTTCCTCTTTATGAGGCATTTTTAACTGATGCGACCTATACTCCGAAGTGACTTATAGTCTGGAAAATACGGGTATACTGCTCTGCAGTCACCGCTCAGCTTGAGATGCTATTCATAAAAGACAGCAGGCTTACTGGGCCTATTGGAAAGTGAGGAGCAGGTTATAAATATTCCAACAACAATACACATTCGATGAGAGGAATATTTCTAATGTTGCAGAAAACTATCTAAAATGAGATTAGATGATCTACTGCTGTTTAGGTCGGAACAGATTGATCTGGACTTTTAACTTTGTAACTCCACACTCAAGATGTTTATTTAGCTTTGACATGGTCATAAAGAGGGCAGCACAGTGGCGCAACTGGTAGAGCTGCTGCCTCTCAACGAGTAGGTCCTTGGTTCAAATCCCAGTCCAGGGGCCTTTCTGGGTGGAGTTTGCATGTTCTCTCCGTGCATGCGTGTGTTTTCTCCGGGTACTCCGGTTTCCTCCCACAGTCCAAAAACATGCATGTTAGGCTGATTGGTAACTCTAAATTGAACCTAGGTGTGAGTGAGAGAGTGAACGGTTGTTTGTCTCGTTTGTCTCTATGTGGCCCTGTGATGGACTTGCGACCCGTCCAGGGTGGACCCCCGCCCCTCGCCCAGTGATTGCTGGACATGGGCATTGGCGACCCCCGTGACCGTGACAAAATGGAATAAGCGGGTAAAAATAATGGATGGATGGATGTTCATAAAGTCACATGTATATTTATTATGAGCCAATCTAAAACATAAGTACCATATTTTTCGCTGTATAAGTCGCACATTTTTGCAAAAATTTGTAAGTCTTGTGACTTATACACAGAAACGACTAATATATGTTTTCCCCCATATTTATAACCCAATTTTTGGCTGAGATCTGATGATTTCATTCATTCTGACATGAAAAATATTGAACACTACCATTTTCAGCCACTAGAGGGCCCTCGGCTATATGGCAAGACAAGGGTCTCATTAATAGGTAAAAGTGGCTATTAGCTTGCCATACCAAGCCACCTTCGTCTCGCTTTGTAACTCCTGGAGCAAACGTCAAATCAGCTGCATTACGGCGCACTGCCCAGGCGAATTGCAGCTGATTTGACCATTAAAGTGTATTTATTAAGGAAAAGTTCAACTGAGACACAACTTTACTATAATGTCAAGTAAGCAAATAATTGTGTTTAGGTGCTTATCTTGGTAAATTTCGAAGAAATGCACAGTGAGTCCTCCCTCTGCGCGCTCCTGCAGCCGCAAATCGACTTTATAAATTCAGCTGATTTGACTGTTAAAGTGGAAAGTTCAAGTTAAGGGAAAGTTAAACTGAGACACACCTTTGCTATAATTTTGAGCAAACAATTATTTTTAAAGTGCTAATCCTGTTAAATTCATGTTAAAGTCCTCCTGTGCACCCTCCCGCAGCCGCCATTTGGCAGCCAATCGATTTTTGGCACAACGGCCCACACTTCCGAGTGGTCAGCGGTGACACATAATAGGCAAACTGACTTATTTATGTTTTTTTGGACTTTATTTGGACTGATGCGACTCATACGCTGGTGCGATGTGTACGGCGGAAAGTATGGTAGCTAAAATACAAAAATACAAACAATAAAAAAAGCACCAAACACATATCATACCTTAATTGTATCAAGTGCTAGTTCTATGACAGCACACTGTTTAGGAGTCAGAGCTTTGGCCTCCTCGCGACCCATGTGCTCCTGCAGACAGAATCAGATTAAAACATTCATGTTTATAATGTTTATTTGATGTAGTAACATTTTAAAGTTTACTTATTTTTTTCTGCTATCAATTAATCACCTTGAGTTTAGAAAGCTGACCCAGATCCTTAGCAGCGTTGAAGATCATCTGGGTGCCCTGTCAAAGCGAGATGGACAGAAAAGTGTGCATACGATAAAAAACAAAAAGAGTGCTTTGTTAGGAAATGTGCAGAAAGGAAAGATTCATAAAGTGAGGAGGAAAAAAGAGTAGCACCATAAACTGTTTATCTCTATGAACTGTGAGTGAAAATACTTTAAATAGAGTAAACGGCGATCTTGAGCTATTTGTAAGACGTGGGAGGACTGAGGTTTACAGTACGTGCTTTTATGGACAAATGTTACTGTGTCACCATTCAAATTATGTTTTGTTGTACTTTACTGTATATTTACAGAAGGAAACTGAGAAGGATCAGAGATTGATGATAAGGTTTCAGTTAAAAATGATTTTTTTCATGCTTTTTAAGGCCACACATATAGGTACAATGACGAGAAGAACGACAAATGCTTTATTACAGCAATAGAAAGCACACTGAACCTATGAGGCACAGAACATGCATGTGTGGGGTTGTTAAGACTTACAGTTTGGTCTGTAAGTGTTGGAAGCACGATTGTTTTTTCCATCGTGTTCATCACAAGTTTCCACAGCTCCTTCAGCACTCTTTTCAGAACTGTCTTCTCACAGATCTTTGCAAACAGCGACAAGCTAGAACACAAAAAACCCACAGAAATCTTTCAAGTGACAGCACCAAAAACAGCTCAAATGTATAGATGTTTATTCAAAATATGTTTATTTTAAAAGCTAGACTAGTAGCCTAAAATGGAAATATTAAAAGAAATCCATTGAATTAATTAAAAAAAATCAGAAACTGACACAATAGCTGCACATTAAAGTATTCTTTGTATTTTTCTCATTTGTCAGTTTGATGCAAGAAGTAAGTTGCAAAATCTACAACAGAGAAAATAAAATGAATAGATAAATAAACAAATAAAACAAGCACGAGTCAACCTTTCAGAATTTCATTAGTTATGAGAAGAACTTCTTTCTGCTTTGAGGCAAAGAAAGCTAAACTTATCAGTTCATGGTTCAAAACCCAGAAAATGTGACTGTGAAGAGGAGCTGAAATATCTAAAGGCATCATTAGTGCTGAATATTTCATATGGAGCAACATTTGCTTTGAGCAGAGTCTTTTTCAGATAATGTGAGCCAAACTAAAAACACAACAAATTTAGATATTTTATTAAGCAACACTGAATCATTTTCCCTTCAAAACTAAAGCGTCCTTAGTAAACGCTTAGACACCAACAGGCTCTTTTACCCTTAGCTTGTTTTAAAATGTGCTGCTGGGGGACAATTGTATTAACATTACTATTGTTAACACTGTGAGACTTTAACTCAATTATAAGTTTGAAATTATTTCTAGGTCTTTATATCTTGTATTTATCAATTTGTACCAGAGTTGTAGACAAACTTACTTGCTATCCAAAAAATCCATAATCGGTTGCAGGACATTGTCAGCCTCCTGCACCACGCTGCCATTTGCTGGAACTGTCTGACCTTTCACCTGGGCTAGGATGTCCCCCATTTGCCTCACGTTATCCTCAATCTGGGGCTGGAAACTGTGACGACATGCAAAACAAAAAAGAAAACACAAGGACGCACTTTAAAATCAGCAGTTGTGGTCATATTTCCAGCAGAATCTAACAGAAATACTGACTGACCTGACAGCAAAGATGCGGCTGAGGTCATCCATCACGCTGTTCAATTTGTTCTGAAGCTCCTTAAGGAAGTCGCTGGCCTCCACATTGAGCTGAAGGAAGCACAGCTGTGATGAGCACAGCAGTCAAGTCAGATTAAGAAAATAAAAACAGATAAAAACTCACATCTTTGCCGCCCATGGCCTCAAACATCTTCTCCAGCTGAACTCTGAGCTGCTGGATGTTATTGATGATTATACATGGCTGACGGGGGAGAAGAAAAAACATTTTACACACATAAACACATACTTTTGCTTCTTTCACACTTTCCAATTTCCATGTTTAGCTCTTTTTATTTATTTTAATCAATCATTATAAACTTTGAAAATGTGTTTTAAGCTAAAACACGGTGTAATGCAGGGCAGCAGAAGCTGTAGTTTCCAGTAATTACCATTTCTCTCTGGAGAGCTGGTCTCTGTGGGAGTGCAGCCTAATTTCCCTCAAGCACTTTCAGCTAATTACACAGCTCTAATTCACTGAGAACCCCACAACACGAGGAGCACTTTAACGTGTCCAAATGAATCAACTTGACCATAAACTTTGCATACATTCTAAAATACATCTTAAATGACACCTTTTACAATTAGCTTGCTGTGACAAAACTTGATTTTTCATCTTTCTGCTGCTCCTTTCCTCAGCAAGCAAACTCAACATGAAAATATAATTTGTTTTATGCCTTCACTCCCCCTTGTGTCAAAACCCACATATATATTTGCTATTTCCCTTAGAAATGCCACCAACACTTACCACTTTTTCTTTTTTGACATGATTTGGAAAGTCCTTTGCTATAATGTCAGCATAAGACAGCAGGACGTTGCCAATAGTCTAAGAGAAACAAACAGTAAAAACATGTTAGGTTATATTGAGTACTAAGACAAAGGAAGTATTGCAGAGCATAAGGAAGAGAAAGTCACCTTGGCGAATCGCTTCATGTAGTTGCCAACAATCTGAGGGTCTGGACACTCCAGCTTGCGTATGATTTCGAAGCTCTGGTTGAGCTGAGAGAAGACGTCCACCACTGAACAGGAGAACAAAGCATGCTCCGACGTGACCTGGAACTGGATATCGACAGAAGGAACCAGAAGGAAAAGTTGAAAAAGGTTTTTTGATGCTCCTATCTACAGTAGTCCCTCACTACTTCACGCTTTGTTTATCACGGTCTCGCACTATCACGGTTTTTCAAAATAAGATCGGACATGAGATGAGGAGATGATTGTGGACTTCAGAAGGAACAAAAACATCTACACCCCCCTGAACATAAGAGGATCTGCAGTGGAAGTGGTCTCCAGCTACAAGTACTTGGGTGTACACATGAATGACAACCTCAGCTGGAGCAACAACACCACCAGCCTGATCAAGAAAGCTCATAAGAGACTCTACTTCCTCAGACGGCTGAGGCGAGCTGGTCTGGGAAGCTCAGTCCTCACCTCCTTCTACAGGTGTGCAGTGGAGAGCATCCTGTGCTCCAGCATCAACGTGTGGCATGGAGGCTGCACAGCTGCAGAAAGAAAAGCTTTGCAGAGAGTGGCGAAGGCTGCACAGAAATCTGTCGGAATCAGCCTCCCCACCATCACAGACATCTACACCTCCAGATGCAGAAAGAGGGCCACCTGCATCATGAAGGACCCCACTCACCCAGCACACACACTTTTTGCCCCACTCCCCTCAGGAAGGAGGTTAAGGAGCATTAAGTGTAGAACCACTAGACTGAGGAACAGCTTCTACCCTGAGGCTGTTAGACTCATGAATCTCTAACTAGAATAATCACTGTGAAAAACCATATCATGTTGCTGCTGATCTGTTTCATGTTGCTGCTGATCTGTTTCAGTGTTGATGTGTTCATGCATGCACATCTGCTCACAGACGCATGTTCATGTTTGTGCTGATGTTCAATGTTTTATGTTACGAGTGCTTAGTGTATATTTAGTTGATGTTTTTCTTAGTTCATATCTTAGATGTTATTACTGTTTTTCTTATACATTTTATTGTTGGATGTAACTGGGACC